GGTGTATTGGTTAAAATCACACAAATCTGTTTTACTAATTGGGTCATCTTTTAAAAATAAAAAAGGAAGTGGAGGAGATGGTTCTAGAGTGATCTAGTTCATTGTTTGATATAATTATCTGAAGTGAGGTTCAAGGGTTTAAATTCGGTTGGTGTTTCAATTGTGGCTGTTTCTTGTGTACTCTTTTCATATTTTCTTTTATTCGCACATTGTGCCTTAATGGAATAATCTTTTCATCGAACCTGGTTTAGTGTTTAAGTCGCAGGGGTCTAAATTTTGGCTTGGAATTGTTTAGAATGTTGCAATGATCAATTCCTGCTTCATTTCTTATAAAGGATCGATAAACAAAGATACTCCCTTGGCAAGTTTCATAGTGTGGTTAATCATTTTGTTGCAGGACTTACATTTCTTGTTGTTTTACTTTATGTTAGCTCACCCAGGCTTCCTTTGACAAGGATATTTACTTTTGCAATCCGGTCATTGACTCGGCCATGAAGCGGGCGATGCCATGGACTGAGCATGTTGATGTTATATCATCAGGTGAATCATCTTCCTCAGATGCAGATGATGGGTATGGTTGTCAGCAGTCAATCAATGATACTACAGTTATCAAAGATTTGACATCTGAAGGTATTTATATTGGGATTCTGGATCTAGTTTTTCTTATACTTTGGATGTGCTTTGTCCATTAATCTTGATAATAAAAATGTTCAAATAAACTAATAGGAAACCTCTCTATATGTTCCCATTATTTGAGTGCCATAATTTGAAAGAATTACTCGTTTCAGTTTCCCATTCTTTGTGCTTTTGGTTCCAATTATAAGTTTTTTGCTTTAGTGGAGAATTATTTTCTGTATTTGTTGAAACTAGCATGTTCACAGAAGGCATTATTGTGATATGTTTTCTCATAGGTGCACTGTTCAAAAAGGCAGAATTGTATCAGGAATACATGAAACAGATTCCAATTCCGACACACCGTGGTTCTATTATTCCATTTACCTCATGGATGGGACTAGGCAATTCGATTAAGCAGTTATATCAGCAACCCTTGCATTACCTCACTAATATTCTCTTAAAGCAGTGGGACAAATCAAGGTTTGACTCCGAAGATGAGTATAAGCCCCTGGATACAGTCATTCATCCCTGTAAAGCTGAAGCCACCATTTGGCTCATTGAAGAAGTCCACCGCTGCACCTCTTCTCATCATCATCTAGCTAAAATCTGGCTTTCTGATCCAATGCACAATACCTTCATTGATTCCATATTCCCAAATTCATGAACCACATCTTGAAGAGCCATCTGTTTTCACCCTTGTGTTGACTGTTTAATAGATGCTCTTTAATTTCTTCATGTGGTTTGGATCTGTACAATATGAACTTGAAATAAACTCATTCATCAGTTCTTTATTTCATTTTCATAAATTGATGTGGCATCAGCTCTTTAATAGATCAATATCCTGGGCAAGAGCATCGGCTGTTTGGTAGATGCTCTTGCTCAGGATGTTGATTTATCGATTTTATTTCAATTGTTGTTCTCATGGATTGAAGGCCGCCGATTTTTGTAGGATTCATTTTTTATATACAAATTATCAACTGTAATAGATTGGCATAAACTTCTTGTAGCTTCAAGTTATCTGCAATATTCTAATGGGTGATAGTTATAAATGAATGGAACTTTTAATCTACCAATAATCATTACAAGAACAGACCCCTCGCTGGAAAAAGTGGAATCTGTTATTATCTCGAATAATAATTTCTCGCTCATATATTTTTGAAACTAGTTTGGCAAACGAGTGGCAGTCCGAGCACATTCGTAGATTCTTCACAACACGAATGGGCATCCTTTGACTTGTACTGATTAGTCCAAAAGCCAAGGCCAGTTTCTCACTATGGTGACTAAGCAAGTACTCTTTCTCTTGCTCATCCACATCAAGTAAAACATTAGTAAGATCAGGAACATGGCCGGCATCTCTGAATCTGCAGTTCAGTTCATGTAGCATCGAGGAGATGGAAGTCATTTCAGGGTGAGATTCGTCACCAGAAGTGAACTCATGAACTTTTCCATAGACTTCTATGGAGCTTGATCCAGGCACTTTGCGAACCCCTCTCTCCTTCATGTGTAGCCTCACTCTTGCAACATTGCTCCACTTTCCAGCTGATGCGTATATGTTTGATAGAAGCACATGAATCCCAGACTTATCGGAAGCCAATTCGGTTATTCTTTCAGCTGCATATGCTGCCATGTCAACATTTTGGTGCGTTCGGCAAGCAGCTAAAAGAGAGCCCCAAATCACATCATTAGGCTCCATTGGCATGCTCTTTATAAGATCTAAAGCATCTACCAGCAACCCAGCACGGCCAAGCAAATCAACCATGCACCCATAATGGACAATTTGAGGAGAAATTCCATGGATTTCTTTCATGGACCTGAAAAGATTCCAGCCTTTTTCCACTAATCCACCATGACTACATGCTGTCAATACTTCAACAAATGCAATATCATCTGGTTTTACCCCCTGCCTGAGCATCTTGTTGAAAAGCTTTACTGCTTGTTCACCATTTCCCTCCATAGCCTTTGCCCCAATGGCTGCAGTCCAGGCAGACACATCTCTTTTCTCCATTCTATCGAATACTTGCATCGCACTTTGAGGATCACCACACCTGGCAAACATATCAACTAATGCAGTTCCAAGCCGCATATCAGAGTAAATACCTTTTTTCTCAATGAAAGTGTAAATCCACTTGGCAAGATCCAGAGCTCCTAGATATCCACAGGCAGATGCAACACCCACCATTGTTATCCTATCTGCGTTGATTCCTTCACTCTGCATCTGTCGAAAAAATTCAATTGCTTCCTCAAACATGCTTTCTTGCATTAAAGCACAAAGAATAGTGTTCCAGGACACAAGATCACTCTCTGGCATCTCACCAAATAATTTCCGAGCTGATTCCAAATCACCATTCCTAACAAATCCTGCAATCAATGAATTCCAAGATACTATGCCCTTGTTTGATATTCGATCAAAGATTAAACACGCCAATTCTTGTTCGCCACATTTCATATACATGTCAATCATAGAATTACAAATGTTATCCCGACCTTCTAATCCATTCCTCAAAACATATCCATGGCACCGCTTTCCACATAGAAGATCACCCAATTGCGCACTTGCTGAGATTGCAGATAACATACTAACTCTATCAGGTCGCAGCCCCTGTATTAGCATTTCATCCAAGATAGCAAGTGCTTCTCTTGGCATCCCCAGCCCTACATAATTTGACATGATTGTATTGCACAAAACCAAATTCCTATCTTTGCATTCATAAAAAAGCCGCTTTGCAGTATCAACAGCACCACATTTCATGTACATATCAACAAGTGCATTCATCATAAGGGTGTTCACCTTCATTCCCAGCTCACCAATATAAGCACACACTCTCTCACCCAAATCAAGATCTTGCAACTTCGCACAAGCAGAAATAACACAAACCATCGTTACCGAATTGGGTCTAATTCCTTCCTCCAACATCTCAAAAAACAAGTCAACAGCCTCTTTTGCCAAATCCTTTCGAGCATAGGCACAAATCAAACTAGTCCACGACACAACATTTCTCTCAGACATTTCATCAAACACTTTTCTTCCATCATCAATCTCTCCACATTCACCGTAGAAATGAATCAAAGAATTCTCTACAAACAAATCTCCTGCGAAACCCATCTTGATAGTTGCTCCATGAACTTGAAGCCCTTCACTGTAAGCTGAACTCTTCGTGCACGCGCTTAACACAAATGGAAGAGTATACTTATCAGGCAACATACCAAAAGTCACCAACTCAACATAAAGCAAAATAGCTTCTACACCAAGTCTAATACAAGAGAACCCTCTAATCAAAGAATTGTACATGAACAAAGTAGCAGTTTCATTATCTTCTTTGAAGAGATCAAAGGTCTTCTGTGCATAGTTCAAACTTTCAGAAGTACCCATTTGGGCATAAGTTGAGATAACCTTTGCAACATAAGAAGGATTATTATTTAGGCCTTGTTTTAATAATTGACATTGTAGTTGTCTGAGTTCGTTTAAGGTTTTGCAATCATTGAGATATCCAACTGAAGGAGAATCTTTAGAAATGGATTTGGATTGGTGTTGGTGTTGGCGTTGGTTGGTAAGAGTTGTAGATTTTGGGGTTGCCAAAACCAAAAGAGATGGATTGAGAGTTGCAGACATTGTTGGGCATTTGTTTGAACCTGCGCTCCCTTTCAACTAAATTAACTGATATTCTCTTATTGTTCCCGCTTAATTTTTATACTGATTTTGATTTCTATGCTGAACGACTTATCTATTCGCTAAACGGACAACTTAGTGATAGAGATGACTTGCTGCCCACAGTCTAGATTCTGGGCAACATAACATGTGCTCTGGTCATGGACGACTTGTCGTTGACTAGATACTGTATTTACACCAATGCGATATATCCCCTCTTAAATTTTAAACGGAATCAACCGTTGTAAGTGTTTATTATTACATTTTTTAAATGGTCGAAGATGTTCAGACTGGCTTATGCATACCTCAATTAATTTTTTAATATTCTGGAATTATTATCTGGATAAGAGCTTTCATTGTTAATCCTATTAACAACCAAAAAGAGACTCGAATTCAGGATTTTTTGAATAATACACTCAAGAGTCTCTATTAGTGATAGAGATGACTTGCTGCCCACAGTCTAGATTCTAGGCAACATAATATGTGCTCTGGTCATGGACGACTTATCGTTGACTAGATACTGTATTTACACCAATGTGATATATCCTCTCTTAAATTTTAAACGGAATCAACCGTTGTAAGTATTTATTATTACTTTTTTTAAATGATAGGAGATATTCAGACTAGCTTACGCATACCTTAATTAATTTTTTAGGATCCTAAAATTATTATCTGGATAAGAGCTTATGTTGTTAATCCTATTAATAACCGAAAAGAGACTCGAATTTAGGACTTCTTGAATAATAAACTTAAGAGTCTCTATTGATCCACTGATCACCTAGAGGTAGTTAATAATTGTAGTTATTGTAACGTCTGAACCATAACTTTTCTTTAGGGTTTAAGCTATTATAAAGCACTTTAATAAGTATGTTTATAAAATTTACATTAATGTATTCATACAAATACAAAATAACCAAAATTGTACTGATTTTTCTTTAGACCAAACGTCAAGTCCATTACAATTATCTCTATGAGGAAGCATAAATAGTTCATGGTTCTAATTACCGTAGACTCACTGGGAAAGATCGAAAAAATTCAACATACAATCTGAAAACTTTTCATGAAGTTGAAGAAATCTTTACAAGTCAGACTTCTTATTTCATAACATTTTTTATTTATTAATATTATAGGATAAAAACTTAATAAATTCCTTATTACCAATTAGGCCATGTCGATGAGGAGCATCAAAGATTGTTCCAATGTAAGATCTAATCACCATCCTTTTGGACACACCATCAACTCAAGGAAACAGTCTTTTTCATTGCTTTTCTCCATTTCTTTACATTTAGAAACAACACAAGAAAACAGAACAAAATTTTTTATTTAGTTCTTGCAAAACTTTTTGAGTGTTACATTTACATTGCCCACTAGAACTTAAAAGAGGTTAAAAGGGAATATCAAGATCTTGAAGATCCTCCTGGAAAAAGAAAATTTCTAGATTAACAGTCGGATTCATATTATCACCAACGCCCGTGTCTTAGACTTTAAGGGTGGTATTTTTGTTGGATAGAACTCTAGATATGGCTTTGATAGTATCTGGGGTAGTCCTGCAGCAGCCACCAAAAAGGGAAGCTCCGGCATCAAGCCACTTACCTATGGATGACACAAAGTCCTCATCTCTTACCCCGGTTGATTCCTGCAATACAAAACATCAACTTCTGCATCACTACAGTAAAAATGGATGAAGATGTTTGGCAGACACCAAGAAGCCTAAGAAATCAATAATAATTCATTTTAAAAGGTGCGGGCTGGAAACTCACCACCCACTGCTTGAGCACAGCATCATAAGTCTCGCCACTGTTTGGATATATTATCACTGGTTTACTAGTTACCTGCCAGATTAATCAGTCAAAAGAACTATCATTTCTGGGGCAAATTCATCAGTAGCATTCCACTTCTTCAAAAGTGTTTAGATCACAGGGACCACAAAATCCTATCCTTATTAATGTCTTAAAGAGTTCTGAAATTTCGATCTTATTAATTGCATCTACCTCAAGAATCATACCTTTCTAACAGAGAGAATCAATCCATGGATAAATCTCGGAGCAGTACAGTTGATTCCGACAGCAACTACTTGCTTGCATGAATCAGCGACGGAGGCACATTCCAGTATAGAATCACCACTAACCACATTGACTCCATCCTTGCAA